CCCCCCCCCCCCCCCCCCGAAATAGCATACATTTGTATCTCAATGCAGGGCACTTTCTGCCCTCGCTATGTATTCTAGTTGTGTCTATCCTTGCCTCAGAACCAAATCCTTCTAATCTCTGATTATATTCTTTCTGGCTGTGTTGATGAAATAAGACATTCTGAAGAAAAACAATATAGAACGAGCTGGTGAGGAACAAGACAATCATCTCGACAAGAGATACCTGATGCCTCTGGGAAAAAGAAACCCCACAAAATTTATTTATTTGAAGCTTATGTTAAGTTACTGAACACGATTGTCTTTACAAGGTAAGGCTGCTGCTAAGGCTTGGCTTTTCTTAACTCTTTGTTAATAATAAGAGTTGAAGGAGAAAAAAGGCTAAAGTTTGCTTTGTCTGGCACCGCTTAGACCTGACTTATAGGAATAGTGGTTAACATATTAAAATTATATTTAAAGTGTGCCGCTTAAGACTACACATATTGAATAATAATAATAATAATAATAATAATAATAATAATAATAATAATAATAATAATACTGTGGGACTTTTGAATCCAGACTGACAAAGTTTTGGAACACAATACACCAGACATCACGATTGTGGAAAAGAAAAAAGTCTGGATTATTGATGTTGCCATACCAGGTGTCAGTCGCATTGAGGAAAAACAACAGGAAAAATTCAGCCGCTATCAAGACCTCAAAATCGAACTGCAAAGGCTCTGGCATAAACCAGTACAGGTGGTCCCAGTGGCCATGGGCACACTGGGTCCCGTGCCAAAAGATCTCAGCTGGCATTTGGAAACAATAAACATCGACAAAATCACGATCTGTCAACTGCAAAAGGCCACCTTACTTGGATCTGCGCGCACCATTCGAAAATACATCACACAGTCCTAGACTCTTGGGAAGTGTTCGACTTGTGATTTTGTGATAAGAAATCCAGCATATAGATCTCGTTTGCTGTGACATACTGTGCTTTTGTGTCAGAATAATAATAATAATAATAATAATAATAATAATAATAATAATAATAATCTTTATTTATATCCCACCACCATCTCTCCGAAGGCACTCGGGGTGGCTTACAAGGCACTCCAGATTGCACATATAACATACAACAGGTAAAAACAGTACAAAAGTATAAAACAAGTCACATAAAATTATAACAACACCCAGCCAACACATGTAGCATAAAATCAAAATAATACAAATTTTTAAAAACAGATAAAACTAACTGCCGTCAGTTCACAAGGTGCCAAGTGTCAGCTTCATGTGGGCTCATTCAGCTTACTCAAGGTCAAAGATCTGTCTGGACATCCATGTTTTCAGGTTGGAATGGAAGGATTGAAGGGTGGGGACTACTCTAATCTCTTTTGGGAGCGTATTCCAGAGCCGGGGACCACCACAGAGAAGACCCTCTCTCTTGTCCCCACCAACTGCGCTTGAGACAGTGGTGGGACCGAGAGACGGGCCTCCCCTGTCGATCTCAGAGCTGGTTCGTAGAAAGAGATGTGTTCTCGAAGAAATGTTGGACCCAAAGCATATATAGGACTTATTACCAGTCTTGCAAAAAGCTGAAACTATACACAGCTAACAATAAAATGAATAAAAGCAATACAGGTATCAAACATAAAATGATTACTAAAAACAACTTTAATATTATTTATTAATTTTCTATCAATAATAACAAAAAAGACAGGACCAGTATAGATGGAAAACTCTTACAGACGGAAAGCTCTTACAGACAGGCAGATCCATCAAGAAAGAAGTTGGGAAGCAGGTTGATTTCAAGAGCCTCTGAATCTGGAGAAAGTCGGGGATCCAGTGAGCTCCACAGTCAGTGTCTTGATCTTGAGAAGTGTATCTTTAAATCATCCAAAGGGGGATTTGAGGTAAGATGGGAAATATTAATTGTCTGAGTCTAATTTATAGCTTAGAAAGATATAGAATTACACAAATATGAACAATGAACCAAGTCCTGCTGGGTTCATTGTTCTCTTTTCAGTGGTCAGACAGAGAACAATCTAGGATGTCAACAAGGACATGAATACAAAAAAATTCTTGTATTCTCCAACAACTAATAAATGTATTGCAAAGGAGTCCACTACAAGCCGGCACCAAATTGTAAAAGGCTCTTGTATTTATATCACTGGATGCCACCCTATTTGTGTTGTGAGGTAATTATGAGAGATTGGGTACACCGAGCGTAGAATAAATGGAGGTGAGGCAGTTTCAAAAACCAAAGAGAACAAGTTTATTTGAAACAAAGCGTATGGTTGCAGTTTGATGTTAAGCTTGGCAAATACTTAGAGAACGATACATGTAACTTGGTTGTGATACAGTTCAGACTTTCGATGTTACAACTTATAAAACTCTTGCTGTGGTGAAGCACTTCAATAAACAATGTTTTACTGTGGTGAATAGTCTCCCCGTTTGATTCTTCTATGATCAAACACCAGATCTCTAGTTCTTTTAACTAGGGATCTAAACAAGCCTTTGTTAGTTCTTTCTAACTAAAGAAACTAATAAGGTTTTCCTCTTCAGCTTTCCTAACTGAAGAAATCTCTGACTATTCACGAACACTGTCTCTCTCCTGACTCAGAGTCTCCAACCTGACTCTTCCCTTCTCAGAGTCTCCAACCTGACTCTTCCCTTCTCAGAGTCTCCAACCTGACTCTTCCCTTCTCAGAGTCTCCAACCTGACTGACTCTTAACTGTCGCTTTTCAAAAACACCCTTCTCTAAGCTCCTCCCACTCCTCTGCAGCATCGTTTCCATGGTAACACACTCCTCACAGCTAGGCCGCTCCAGCCTTAGGGCAACCAATGCAAACATAAATACAGTTATAATCATATTATTATAATCACTTCTGTACAGTACCCTTGGTTTCTTTTTGATACGATAATAATAATAATAATAATAATAATAATAATAATAATAATAGCAACTTTAATTTTATACCCCGTCATCATCTCCCCAAGGGGACTCGGGGCGGCTTACATGGGGACGAGTCCAGATCACAGATAAAACAACAGCATTAAAATCAATAAAAACTACACAGATACAAACAACATCATCATAAAAACAATAACATGGCTGAAAGAAAGCTCACCTTTTCCCTTCTTCCTAGTCAAATTCAAGATTCAGATTTTGGCACTATAGCTTCTTCAGCCTGCATGTGTTTTGGAAAATTTGTATAAAACAGTTCCTAATGCATTTACATACAGATGAGAATTAACACCATTTGTACTGAACAGTTATATCTCTACTATAAAGAAATAGGGTTTAATACGTATTTGAAATATCAGGACCCATTTGCAGGGGTTGTATCTTAAAGAGTCAGTGTAGTATAGCAATTTAAATGTTGGACTAGGATTCTGAGAGAACAGGGTTCACATTCCTGCCCAGCCATGAAAACCCACTTGGTAACCTTGGGCAAATCACACTC